TCATCTTCACCAATATGTCATATGCTTTTGCTCATCCTGCTACTGTTATCTAACATATTCCTTTTTCTTTCCTAACATATTCCTTTTTCTTTCCCATAGACCCCACCCCACAATCCTTTCCTACTTACTGAATACTTAAGGTTTTTTTTTTTTGACTTAAGCATCATTTTATTTATGATCTTTTTTTGAGTATCCCATGTGAAATAATCACTTGCTCTTTTGTGCCACAATGGATTATACAGACTTAATCTAGTATTTTTAACATTTTATTATTATTAATTGATTACAATCACTTTAATTTCCCTATACTACTTGTAGGTTTCTTTGTATTTTGGTATGTAATAGGTCAGTGCGTATTACTTGTTGAATGAATGAATGAATGAAAGAAAGTAATCTGGTATACTTATCATGGGAAGGTTAGTCTGGGTTAGACATTGTCTTTCAATCTAGCTCCTTGATGTAGCTCAGTACCATGGCATGCTTTCTTGAAGATGGAAATCCAAAATTATGGATAAAAAAGGTAAACTATACAGGCTGAATTTAATTGTTGTTGTTCTTTAAAAAAACAAACCAAACTTGAGAGAGAATATTATAGTGGCATGAAACATTTAAAAAATCTTCAAATTGATTAGGGAAGGCCAAGAAGAAGAAAGAGAAATATGGTAGTTTTAAGTACAGGGAATATAGAACATTACTGTAGAAGGAAGCATCTGTCTTTTTAGCAATACATAGAGGAAATAATGGGAGAAAGACCAAGCATATGAAGAATGACTCTGAGGGGAAACTGACATTAATTTCATAGAAGATGGGGGAACTAATAATGGATAGTTGCACAAAGTGGTTTTAGTAGATTTAGCCTGAAATTATGCCATGACTTTTAAGCGAAAATATCTGAGGGAAGAGTAATAGAACCAATGATGTAAGTGATAATGAGATGTAGACTGGAAATAACACGTTGATTTTGGGGAGAAGCAAGGTGATTGGTTATTAGCAGAAGTAATAAGCAGTAAAGGTGGCCATATTGATTATAAACATAGTAGGCATAAAATTAGAAAATAAAATCAAATATTAATCATATTTAAAAGAAATTTTAAATTTTATTTATACTATTACATATTTATCAAATAATTTGAGTATATGTTAAATTATCATTAACTTTCTAAGTCCAGGAATGGTGATCTAGAATAATTTATTAATAAATTAAATCATAGAGATAAGAAATACAAAGCCAACATAGGATACCATAGTGTATAAAAGTAGCATTGTGCAGTGGTTACAGCACCACCTCTGAAGTGAAACAAAGTTTGAATCCTAGCTTTGTTACTGGACAGCTTTGTGAATTTGTACAAGATCTTTAATCTCTCTCCACTTCAGATTCTTCATCTGTAAGTAGAGACAATAATAGTACCCGTCTTACAAGGCTATTGTGAAGGTAAAACAAATCAATATTTATGAAGCACGTAGTCATATATCTGGCATGTAGTAAATACTATAGAAATATTTTGTAATGGTTTTTATGCTAATAGACTTTTTCTTACCTATTATATATACCACTCATTGTGCTAGGTGGCTTAGATAATCATATTGGATCAGTGTATTCCTTTTTGCATACATAAACTGAGTCTTCTGTAATTAATAAGCTTAAATATGGAAAGTAATTTTAATTTTTAATTGAACAATTTAGTCTTTGATTTTTAAAAATAGATGAAATATAAACCTGAGATAAACATCCAGATGATTCAGGTTGATTTAAAAATTAATTCATTCTTTTTTTTTTTTTTTTTTTTGTGCGTGTGTGGGGTGGTCCTGGGGATTGAACCCAGGGCTTTCTGCATGTGAGGCAGGCACTCTACCAACTGAGCTGTATCCCCAGCACTCCCAAATCATTCTTATGTTTAACATAAAAGTATTTTTCTGTAGCAATATACTTTCTATATGTCACATGAGATTTTAATCAACCATTGTACTTGGTAATCTTTTGTACTGGTACATTATATTTGATTTTTTGATAACACAATTCCAGTTTGAGTGTTAATGAGGTAGTTTTGACAATTACAGTGAGATTCTGACATGATGGCATTACTAAAATCTGATTAGAGGATGTGGCCATCTCTTTGTTTAAAATTTTCTTTTCTTTAGAAGGCTTGCCAATTTGTAAAGAAGGACCATTTTGCTTAGCAGCCATCATGCCCATTCTTCCCTTTTCCTGTAATAACGTCCTTGGGAAATTTTGTTCATTTCTATAGCTTCAAATACTCTACATATGCTGTAGATTTATAAAAATTTCACCAGAGTATTCTCCTGACGTGCAGATCCAACGGCATAGTTGCCTACTGAAACTCTCTGCTTGAGTGTATTATAGTCACCTGAAAGTCACGTTATCTGTGTCTAAAGTCATTATTTCTCCCAAATATGCTCTGCTTGTGTGTGTGTGTGTGTGTGTGTGTTTTGTGTGTGTGTGTGTGTGTGTGTGTGTGTGTGTGAGAGAGAGAGAGAGA